GAGACCCACCCTTGATCCAACCTTGAATGGAATCTATGTTCCCTATTGTTGAAAACTTTAAACTCATGGCCCCTCTCCCTTTACTTGCATGTATCACATTTTCAATAACTCCTCTGGAAGACAACTGTATATAGCAGAGATAGTGTAATGGGAGAGGGGGAAAGGGCAGAGGGTCAAACATAGGATAAAAAACATATATATATGTATACATATGTATGAAAGTAGAAATGGAATATTATTGATGATAACATGCTTGATTAAGCCACTGTGCAGTTTATCCTAGATGGGAAACCACATTTAGTATGTTGTGATGATGCTCAGGGAATGAATGTTGGGTAATATAAAAAAACAAAAAACAAAAAACAAAACAAAAAAAAAACGCTGCAGGAGAAAAAAAAAAGACAGGTCCTTCTATGAATGAGAAATTATGAAGCTTACTGAAAGATGGCAAAAGGCTATTAAACAATATATCAATTGATCTTTATTCTTTATATAATTAAGTGACCTTTGAAAAACATAGACAAAATATGTCATGACTTTTCCAATAACCCTTGTTCCTAAAACTGGGGACCACTCGTACTGTGGAAATGTAACCCAAGTTGACTCTCATCCAAACGAGTGAGGAAAACCTAAGCAGCCAGATTAATTAACTTTGGGAACTGTACACACTCTATTCTCCCTCCTCATAATGTGAATCATTCCCTCCTTTAGGGTCTCAACTCTTCTAGCAACCAAATACCCACTTAGAGAGTCAGCTTCAAACTGATCTATGGTGTCTTTTTTTTCTGATACCACTTCTGACAAATATGTGGTGTTTTCTGAACACCAACCAATTCTCCAACACTGGCTGGGTTTTGAAAAATGCAATTATGACACCACCCCTGGGTGAGAACTCAGCTCCATAACACCCCACTTTAATGTCGGCAACACCCAAAAACTACTCATACTTTGAAACTATTTTCTATAAATCTCACAACTCCCTACTCAGGTTCAGTAATTTGCTAGAAATACAGAACTCAGTATAACGGTTAATTTTACCAGTTTATTAAAAGATACAACTCAGAAATAGCCAAATGAGACATGTTAATGCAAAATGGAGGCAGATGGATAAACCCCCTCTTGAGGTTCGCCACCATCACAGCCCATAAATGTGGTCAGCATGGAAGCTCAATGTTTTTGATCAAGAGTTTTCCCTGAACTCAATCTTCAGGTTCCCTCCCCTCAAGATATCAGGTATGGGGCTTACAATTCTGACCCTCTAATTACATTTACTTTCTGGTCAACAGTCGCCATCCTGAAATTATCTAGGGCCCCCAAACTGAGCCACTTCATTAACATAAACTCAAGTATAATTTGAGAGAGACTTGGTATAAATACCAAAATGACAAATTCCTATCACTGAGGCAATTTTAAGAGGTTTAAGACCTCTCTGCTAGGATTTAAGAACAAAAACCAAATATATTTACTGTATTGCAGACCGAAATAAGCTCGAGTTCATAAAACCTCTTAAATTCATAAAACTGAGGTATTACATCAGCTGCGAGTAACAGAGAACACCCATAACCAGAGACTATTCTTAACCATTATAATCTGAATTGGCTGCCCAGTGCACACATTAAGGCTTGCAGGAAAATTCAAACTGCAGATGGATCTTTGATATTGACCTTCTGAATCTACCTGTGAAAATCTCCCACTTCTGAGGAGATATAAGTACCTGGTGATGGTTTTGAAGATACTCTTCCTTGGTAAGTGTTCACCCACACAGTATACATATGACTGGGACAATGAATGGTGCTTCCAAGACATGACTAATGCTTTCTTCATTTTTACCTTCCAAATCTCATGCAAGTTAGTATACTGATGAATTGTATCATGGAACTATAACATAAAGTAAATGAATTTTGGGAAACCTAGTTCGAACAAACATTAACATACATTAACATCCAGAGATAAACTCCAAGTCTAGATTTTATCACAGGCCTTGTTTTGATTCAAAGACATCCAAATAAACAGTTAGAAATGAGTAAAATAAATAGTATAAGGCAAAAGATAAATAATTCATGTGAGACCATATGAGAAACGTGCCATACTTACAAATTGTTGTTAAACTTAAGCAAGAGAAATGGGATAAACTTATTTGTGCAAAAAAAAAAAAAAAATCCATAAAAAAGCAAAAGTGTAGTTATATACAAAGGGGAAAAAAATATTCAAAACCGGCCACATAAAAGCCAGTAAAAAAAAGTTTCAATTAAGGAAATTAAATCAATGGCCTATTAATTACAAAATATTTTTAAATTACATAAATATTAAAACAACTTGCAGACTATAAATACATTTCAATTCACCCATGGACCCAACACTTATCAAAATGTAAGCAAATTTTAACTTATTTTATAGAATTTTGATCCAATGTCCATTCACGTGGACCAACTGGACTTCTGCATGATGCTCTTTTATTAAAGAGGTTTTTCTTCACTGTGTGCTTTGATAACTTTGAACTGAAACTGAATGAGGAAAAACTTTTCCAAATTCCACCTTTATAAGCTCTCTCCAGTATGCATTCCCGTGTGCTACAAAGGTTGTGATGATGAGAAAAGCTTTTCCACTTTCTTTTCCTTCCAGAGGGTATGTGCACTCATGAGGAGAGAAAGCACTCCCCTAATGGGTAATAGTCACACCATCATCCTTTTTCCTCCATCCCATCAGGATTTGAGATATACATACACATGTGCCCAGCATGTTTTTCAAGCTGCTGGAGCAGGGATTTGAACAGCAGTTCAAGTCTCAGACCCAGTGGCTTAACCATATGCTGGGTACATGTGCATGTATGAACAAAATCACAAAAGAAGAATGGAGAAGAGATTGTGATGTGGCCATTCCCCTGGGGGTGATTTCTCACTTTCCATCTCTGTCTCTCCAGCAAGTATGTGTACCCTATAGCAAAAATCTTCCTTAAAAAAAAAAAAAAAAAAAAAAAAAAAAAAATGGAAACATCAAAAGGCTCTACTACATTTTGTATTATTCTCCAGTGTAAGCCCTTTCATATCTTTTATAAGAATTGAGTCAATTGAATGATTTCCCAACATTCCTCCCACCTGTGAAATAAAAGAAGATGGTTTGTGGTACTGTAAAATTCTCTTGAGAAAGTACATGGGAAACTGAGCTACAGTCATACTTCATGTGTTTCTGAACTTTTAAACCTGTAAATGTACTACCTCTTCTCCAGCAAAAATTATAATCCCTCCAAACTATAATAGTTGCCACCCTATCCTGTAATGTGTATTAGGGGAACATGCTAATCCTGAAATTAAGAATAACTGTTATGATTCCTTTTCTCTTCCCAGATCCTAAGAAGTGCTTGACTATACTCTGCAAGTTACCCAACCCATTTCCTATAAGATATCGTTAATGTGCTTGCACCAACCAAAATTCTAAACAAATGATGTAATCCCCTTCTGCTTACAGTTTTTGCCTTTAAAGTCTACTGAAACCTGGCAAAACCTTAGAGCTTCTCATATGTTTAAGGTGTTTAATTCTGCACCTTCTGGGCTGCAGTTCATACAAACCCAATAAATTCATTTTACTAAAATTTGTGCTCCATTTCTTTAAGGGTCAAAACATTCAGAAGGTTTCTGTATCAAATAAATTTTTTAATGTCTTTGTAAGGTACTGAAATGACTGAAGGGTTTCCCTTGTTTTATACTCACAGGGTTTTCTCCAGTGTGAGTACTTTCATGTTGTTGAAGGTGACTGATAAAACAGAATGATATCCCACATTTCTTACATTCACTAGGTTTCTATAAAGCATGAATTTTCATGCCTTTATAAGTTACTAAAAAGGCTGAAGGCTTTCCCACATGTTTTACACTTGTAGGGTTTCTCTCAAGTGTAAGTTCTTTTATGTCTTCATAAATGACAAGAAAGACTGAAGGTTTTCCCACATTTCTTAGTCATAGGGTTTCTCACCAATGTGAGTTCTTTCATGTATCCAAAAATAAATAAATAAATAAAAATAAAATGGCTGAAGGCTTTTCCACATTTTTTACATTCAAAGAATCTCTCCAGTATGAATTCTTTCATGGTTTCGAAAGGAACTGGAACATCTGAAAGTTTTTCACACTATTTACATCCATGTGGTTTCACTCCAATGAGTACTTTCAGGTCTTCATAAGTGAGAAGACTGACTGAAAGTTTTACCACATTTCTCACATTCATAGGGTTTCTCTCCAGCATGAGCTCTTTCATGTATTTGAAAAAAATTAAGAAGATAAAAAGCTTTCCCGCATTCTGTACATTTATAAGCCCCCATCTCCACTGTGCCTTATCATGTGTCTTCGAGCACTTGCAAGATAAGAAAACAATTTCCCACATTCTTTACATTCATAGGGTTTTTCTCCGGTGTGAGTTCTTTCATGGTTTTGAACGGAACTAGAACATCTAAAGGCTTTTCCACACTGTTTACATACATATGGTTTCTCTTCATTGTGTGTTCTTTCATGCTTCTGTAAATAACTAGAAAGAACAAAGGCTTTCCCACATTTCTTACATTCATAGGTTTTTTCTCCAGTGTGAATTCTTTCATGGTTTCTTAAGTGACTAGAAAGATTAAAGGCTTTTCCACACTTCTTACATTCATAAGGTTTCTCACCGGTATGAGTTCTTTCATGTATGTGAAAGGAATTAGAATGACTAAAGGCTTTTCCACATTTCTTACATTCATAAGGCTTCTCTCCAGTGTGAATCCTTTCATGTACACGAAAAGCACTTGAACAAATAAAGGCTTTTCCACATTTCTTACATTCATAAGGCTTCTCTCCAGCGTGAATCATTTCATGTACACGAAAAGAACTTGAAAAAATAAAGGCTTTTCCACATTTCTTACATTCATAGGGTTTCTCTCTGGTGTGAGTTCTTTCATGGTTTTGTAAATGACTAGATAGACTGAAGGCTTTCCCACATTTCTTACATTCATAGGGTTTCTCTCTGGTGTGAGTTCTTTCATGGTTTTGTAAATGACTAGATAGACTGAAGGCTTTCCCACATTTCATACATTCATAAGGCTTCTCTCCAGTGTGAGTTCTTTCATGTATGCGAAAAGAAGTGGTGTGACGGAAGACTTCCCCACATTTCTTACATTCATAGGGTTTTTCTCCAGTGTGAGTTCTCTCATGTACATGAAAAGAACTGGAACGACTAAAGGCTTTCCCACATTTCTTACATTCATAGGGTTTTTCTCCAGTGTGAGTTCTTTCATGTGTGCGAAAAGAACTAGAATGACTAAAGGCTTTCCCACATTTCTTACATTCATAGGGCTTCTCTCCAGTGTGAGTTTTTTCATGGTTTTGTAAATGACTAGATAGACTGAAGGTTTTACCACATTTCATACATTCATAGGGCTTCTCTCCAGTGTGAGTTTTTTCATGTATGCGAAAAGAAGTGGTATGATGGAAGGCTTTCCCACATTTCTTACATTCATAGGGCTTCTCACCAGTGTGAGTTCTTTCATGTGTGCGAAAAGAACTAGAATGACTAAAGGCTTTCCCACATTTCTTACATTCATAGGGCTTCTCACCAGTGTGAGTTCTTTCATGTGTGCGAAAAGAACTAGAATGACTAAAGGCTTTCCCACATTTCTTACATTCATAGGGCTTCTCTCCAGTGTGAGTTTTTTCATGGTTTTGTAAATGACTAGATAGACTGAAGGTTTTACCACATTTCATACATTCATAGGGCTTCTCTCCAGTGTGAGTTTTTTCATGTATGCGAAAAGAAGTGGTATGATGGAAGGCTTTCCCACATTTCTTACATTCATAGGGTTTTTCTCCAGTGTGAGTTCTTTCATGTACATGAAAAGAACTGGAACAACTAAAGGCTTTCCCACATTTCTTACATACATAGGGTTTCTCTCCAGTGTGAGATCTTTCATGTATTTGAAATGAACTCTGAATATAAAACTTTTTGCCGCATTTGTTACATTTAAAAGGTCTATCTCCAGTATGCTTTTTAATGTGTCTTCGAACATTTGGAAGACAAGAAAACATATTGCTACATTCCTTACATTTGCATGACCTCTCTCCATATTCCTGATGTTCACATGGTTTCTGTCCAGTGTGAGCTCTAACACATCTATTAAAGGATAAATAAACAATGAAGTCTTCTCCACACATATTGCTTTCATGTGTTTTTGCTCCAAGAGAAGTTTTCTCATTGAGAATATCATCTGAACTCTGGCTGAACATTTCTCCATAGTGATTACCTTCTTTACTTTCACAGAGTTCTAATATATGGTTTCTGTAAAAATAAAAGTTGCATTACTAAGGGTTGTTAATAACTTTATATTTATTAAATGATATTAGATGTAAACATTAGGGAAACTGTAGGCTTTAGACACTGCTTGAATTGTTTGAACATAAATGAACTGAACAGTCTGCAAGATGGCTCAACCATAGCAAGTCTCAATAGAGTGATATTCATTTGGGGTTTCATAACATTGTTTCCAGTGGACTATTCAGTATTTTGCAAACCAAAAATCTGTGCCACATTAAATTTTCTAAGAATAAATATATTTGAACTTGGACTTATGTGTTTTGTTTGTCTGCTTTTAAAACTTCCTGACACTGTAAAATTCTCTTAAGGGACACTGCTTTCTCATTCGTACTAATTACCTTAGATTTCTCTTGAGATTTTTATACTGATCTTCAATGTTGTGGTCTTCCCACTGTTTTCCTAAAACATAGGTACAGAAAAATCAGCACAAATTAGAAACTTATGGAAAAATTATTAGATTCTATGTTCATAATATACTGTGGCTATTCCTGATTTATTTGCCCAAACAACTGCCTTTCCATATTTTGAATAATTGAACAGCACTAATGAGCAATAAATTCTTCTGACCAAGTAAAGTAATTTTCTCATTCTTACCTATAAAAACCAGGTTTCTGACAGTTTCCCAAATTACATCTTTGTAGAGATTCTTCTGGGAAGGATCCAGCAAAGCCCACTCCTCCCTGTTGAAGTTCACAGCCAAGTCCTCAAAGGTCACCAAGTCCTGAAATATTCCACATATGTGTAAGGGGGGGATGGGTAAGCCTGACAGCACTGAGGATCACTGATTTGGTGGTCCCCAAACATTTATTCCATGATTTAGTCATCGGAACACTTACTCTTTGTTTACATTCACTGCCTCCTACACTGCAGCTCTGATACTAGAATCAACTATTTGGTAAAACAAATTATTTGATGAGTAGAATAGAAACATGCCTTTCTTGGACCAGAAAGTGGCATGATAGCTAAGGCAATGGACTCCACATGGCCAACTCCACAGTTTGAGTCTCAATTTGGCACCCTGAAAAATGACCCGCTGCTGAGCATATGTGTACCAGAAAATCTCTGAAAGGGGAGTGGGAGAGAAGGATGGCAGCTTGGTCATCCTCCCTGGGGTGTAACTTCTCACTTTCCCCCTCTCTCTGGTGAGTAAATGTGCCCTATGACAAAAATTTAAAAAAATAAATTAAAAAAAGGAAGAAACATGCTTCTTATTGGTAAGTCTAAAGATATGCTGCCTCAATCATCCTCACTATCTCTTTGTATAGTGGGCATAAAGAACCTGTCATAACAAAGTAGTAGTAACCAGAATACAGAAAAGAGTTATAATTACCAGTCTTGAGACAACATATCCTCAGAAATGCTTAACCACAAAGTTCAACTTTTGATATCTGGGAAATGGTTATTGAGAGGGACACAACCAGCTTAACTGAGAAGCCAGTCATAATTTACTGGGACATAAACCCATAAGAAGGCAGCTCTGAGGAACAAAGGTTAGTAATCCTAAATTGTAATGAATGAATTGCTTAAGGCTGAGTGTAGACATGTTTAAGAATTGAAAATTCTAGGGGGACCCAGTGTTAATGAGGCTCCTCTATTTTGTGAGATTTAACTCTAATAACCCTACTAGTCTTTTTTTTTTTTTTTTTTTTTTTTTTTTTTTGCTATAGGGCTCGTGCGCTCACCAGAAAGAGAGACAGAAAGCAAGAAATCATCCCTCAGAGGGGATGGCCACGACATAATCCCTTCTCCTCCATTCCCCTCTCGGTATCTTGGGGACACGTACACGTGCCCAGCGTGAGTTTAAGCCACCAGGTCCAGGACTCGAACCACAGTCGACTACATGGGAGTCCAGCGACATAGCCATTACGCCAACTGCTGGTTCCCCTACTAGTTCTTATACTGAAGATCAGGGAGAAAAAATCACTTCCTCTTGACTACACAGTAAGAGAAAAGTAGCTGGAGAATTCTGTTTTTCTATACATGCACTGCTTTCAAGAGACTTTGTAAATACAAAATCAACTAGGATTTTTGCAGAGCTAAATCTCCTAGGGAAAGGAAAACACCCACTTGCTCTAATCTTCTTGCCTCAACTAAGGAAGGGTGAGGACGAGAGGTACTTATAAAAGTTACAACCCAGGATACAGGCTTCCTGAAAACAGAGGCTAAATCATAGTTCAGCACACTGTTTCTCTTCTCCTCACACCATACTTCCAATTCAGTAGGGCTTCTGTCTAACCGCAAAATAAACTGAAGAGTGCATGTTGTAGTACATGTTGTAAAACTTAAGAATTCCACTGGGCCAGCAGATGTCACAGAGGTTAAGTAATGTGGCTGGATACTATGTGGCTGACTGCAGTTTGAGTCCCTGACCTGGCAACTCGACAAACACACCAGGTGCATTTGCATGCATGCCCAAAGAGAAGAATGGAGAAGGGATTGTGGCATGTCTATCACCCCTGGAGTGATTAAGTGATTTCTCACCCCAACCCTCCAGTGAGTGCATGCACCCTATAGCAAACTATAGGATGTATATAAACAAGTTAGATAACACTGATAAGGTGGACAAATTTCTAGAAACACAAAATCTATCAAGACCGAATCATGAAGAAACAAATTCTGAGCACAGCTACAACTAATACAACAGACATTGATGCAGTGATCTAAAGCCCCCAAAATGAAAACTCTAGACACCAAGTAGTCTTACTGATGAAATTTCCACATTTAAAGAATTAACACCAATCCCTCTCAAATGTTTCCAAAAATAAGATAAGGATGGAGCACTTTCAAATTCATTCAATGAGGCCAAAGTTATACTAACAACAAAGATAAACCAAGAAAGAAAACCAGAGATAAATGTCCCTTGTGAATACTGACACAAAAATCCCCAAATAGTCAAAAGTACAGTAATAAAAAAAAATGTGGCACCAGGGCCAGTCAGGTAGCATGGATGTTAAGGAAGCTGGATTCCACATGGTCAACTGTGTGGTTCAAGCCCTGTACAGGCAGCTTGAAAAATACACAAGGGCTAGCAGATGTGATGGTGGTTAAGGGTATTGGACTACCACATGGCCGACCATGGTTCAAGTCCTGGATCTGGTGGCTTGCTTTCTCACTTTCCATTTCTCATTCTGTCCCTCTCTGGTGGGGGGGGGAGGGGGGAGGGGGGAGGATGGAGTAGGAGAGGGAAGGGGTGGGGATGGAGAGGAAGGGAAAAAGGTGGTTAAGGGCGCTGGACTCCCACATGGCTGACGGTGGTTTGAGTCCCAGACGTGGTGGCGGTTTGCTTTCTCACTTTCCCTGTTTCTCTCATTTTGTCCCTCTCTAGGTAGAGGGGAAGGGAAAGGACTGCAGTTTGCCCATTCTCTGAGAGGTGATTTCCCACTTTCTCTCTCTCTCATAAGTATGTATATCTAACAACAAAAACTGAAAAGAGAAAAAGAAAACTGCACACGTATGGTAAAATCTTTTTTTTTTTTTTTTTTTAATGTGAAAGCTGGGACCAGCAGATGGTGTAATGATTATATCACTGGACTCCCACATAGTCAACCGCAGTTTGAGGGGAATGGCCAGGCTACAATCCCTTCTCTTCCATTCTCCTAGGATCTCGGGCACACATGCACATGCACCCAGCGTGAGTTTTAAGCTGCTGGGTCCAGACTCAAACCATAGTTGACTACATGAGAGTCCAGTGATGTAAACATTACATCACTGATAGCCTGGTAAAATAAATCTTGAAAGATCAGTGGAAGGAAAAAAAAACTTTTTAAAAAGCAGCACTGGGAAAACTGGGTATCTTCAAAAATGAACTTGAAGCCTTATCACATATATTAAAGTAATATTAAAGAAAAAAGATTGCCAGGAGTTGGCAAAGTGGTCAAGCACTGGACTCCCACATGGTTGACTGTGGTTTGTGTCCCAGACTTGGTGGATTGAAATTCACGCCAGATGCATGTGCATTATGCCCAAAATCTTAAGTGAAAAATGGAGAAGGGATTGTGGCATGACAATACCCTGGGGGGGAGGGGTGACTTCTCATTTTCAGTCTCTCTCTCTGTGTCTCTCCAGCGCACAGGCCCTATAAGCAAAAATTTCTCAAAAATAAATAAATAAATAAATAAAGACCTATAGTTACCAGCTAAAACTAGACAACTCTTAAAATAATGTGATTTCTCGCTTTCTATCTCTGTCTGACTGGCAAGCACATGCGCCCTATAGCAAAAACCTCTCCAAAAAATAAAATAATAATAATAATAATGTTAAACAAAATTTAGAGGAGGACATTGTTGGGCTAAAACTCCTTAAACAACATCAAATCTAAGTAGCCACTTATGTTAAATGCTATATAACAACAACAAAAAAAATCTATCAAGCAAGTAGACTCCAAAACACACCAGTTTTCCTGAAATCTGGTGGTTCACACAAAAGAGCCCATTCAATAAAGCCAGCATAAGATCTCTGCTTTAATTTTTATTAAAACAACAACAAAACACACACACACAAAAACACTGCTAAAAGTAACATTTTTTAAGTTTGTCAAATGGCACATGTACTCGCCAGAGAGGGACAGAGAGGGAGAAAGCACCATGCAACAGAGCATGATCATGCTGCAATCTCTTCTCCATTTTCCCCACCTGGGCCAAGATTCAAACTATGTGGCTGGCCATGTGAAATCTGGCTGCCTTTATCACCAAGCCATGGAGCTGGCCTTCAATCTGTTTTATAGTAAATGTCTTATTTTCTTGTTCCCACTTCACAAAAACCAACAGTTCTGTCATACCTACTGGAACTCTTCTATTTTACAGAATGGGATGCTACCCTAATTTATGCATTACAAATACAAGTCAATTAGATCTTTAAATGTGTTATAGGGTTAGTTTGTTTTGTTTTACAAAAACATAGGACAGATGTTTGATTACACTAGATTCAGCAATAATTTCTTCGATGAGACACCACAGCATGGTCAAGAATAGAAAAATAATCGACTTCATTAAAATTAAAATTTTTGTGGATCAGAGGTCACTACTGATACAGAGAGAAGGCAACTACTAATTGCAGAAAATACATGGAAGTCACATATATGGGAAGGTATAATATCAAAGACATAAAAATGAAATTATACGGTTCAATCATATGCACACACAAAATATCAAACACTCCAAATAACAAGTGCTGGCAAGAATGTTGAGAAATTGGAACCCTTATGCATTGCGAGAGGGAATGTAAAATAATACAATCCCTAAGGAAAACAGTATGAAGGTTCCCGTCCCCCCCAAAAAAAATAATTAACACGTTCCAGCAGTCCCTTAACTGAGGACATAAATTTTGAATTTAAAAATATTGTAAGCAGGATCTTGAAAGAATATTTGTGTACCCATTCATTTCAGTCTTATTTGCAACAGCAGAAAGATGGAGCAATTTAAATGTTTAATGAATATAAATGCATAGACAAAATGTGGTATGAAATGTCAAAAGAAAAACATCAACAAATTAAGTTTAATGATCTCAATTTACCTATTTTATTTTTTTAAAGAATTATTTAGCTTTATTTATTTTAAATGTGACCAGACAGGAACAGAGTGAGCAAGAGGGAGAGGAAGAAAGAGAGAAGGAAAGTGAGAAAGCAAGTCACCAGGTCTGGGACTTGAACTACAATCAGCCATGTGGAAGTCCAGCATCCTTAACCACCACGCCACTTGTCAGCCCCAACTACTTTATTTTTAT